CCCGGCCTCACACTTTTTTTTTTTTAAAGCAACCTATCCTATATCCCAACTCCTTGAGGCCCAGCTCCCAGCTGGCTGTTGGCTACCAAAGCAATCTGGAAGTCTCAGGTGTGTGTGGGGAAAGGCCTCCCTGCCTGCCGCTCCTGCCTCCCCTGGCTTCAGCAGGATCCGCCAGCATCCTCACTGCTTTAACCAAAATGAAGCAATTGCTAACGGTAGCCACCCAGGGGTGGGGGCGGGCCAGTCAGGCGATGCTGGGGTCACCGCTCCACGCAGAGGCAGCAGCCCACTCTACCTGTGGCAGATGTGCACGGGGCATGCCAGTCTCACGTTCTCAAGGGAAAGGAGGACTCTGTGGCTGACACCCAGCTGGAAGGTCGAAATGTGAGCAGACAGGGTTTATTTGGATGAAGAAGGTGGAAACAAGGGGGGAAAAGCCAAACAAGCAAAGACGGTGGAGAAAGATCAGAGATGGTGGAGCCACGGCTCAGCAGGCAGGCTGGCAGGAAGGTGGCATTCCCGGCTCCCCCGCCCCTCTTCCTGTCCAAGCTCGCATGGATGGACAGGAAGGCCTCTGCTTTGGAGCTATGCTGGCTTTCGAGTCAGCAGACCTGGGTTCATGTTCCAGCTCTGCTGTTCTATGGCTGTGTGACCTTGAGCAGGTTACCTAACGTCTCTGAGCCTCAATGTCCTCATCTATGGAGTGAGAAAAATAACAGGACCCCTTCCTGGTAGGGTTTCATGAAGGATCATAGAACGGAGTGCACACGAAAGGCTCGGCCGGTGTCCGGCACACAGCAAATGCTTCATTCACGTTGGTCGTTTTGCCAGGCAGCTTCTGAAAGGCCCTAGCGGTCCATTCCTGCTGGATCTAGTGACTTGCTTCTGGGAGGAGACTGCAGTGAAGCCGACGGGGTGTCATTTCCGTGGCTGAGCTGCGGATGGCTGTGACTCATCCTGCTGCTGCTCTCCGCCTTGCTGGTCCTGTCTCTTTCGGCCCTCCTGCCTGCATGCTCTGACAACACAAGCTGTGTGGGCAAAGCGCTGCATTGGATGTTGTGTGATGTTCTATGGAGCAGCCTCCACGGCACGGAACCCGGGGACGCCTCAGTCCAGCAGCCTGCGAGGAACTGCCACCCGCCGGCAGTCACGTGAATGAGCTTGAAAGCGGGTCCTTCCCAGTGGGGCCTTGAGATGACCATGGCCCTGCAGGGACCCTGAGCAGAGGGACCAGCTCTCCCAGCAGACTCCTGACCTGCTGGATCTGTGTGATGATAACCAAAGTTGTTTCACCTCACTAAGTTTGGGAGTAAGTTGTTACTGTGCACGAAATACTGAGTACAATCACGTGGTGTTTCTAACCATGACTGGATGGACTCCCTAATGCTTTCCCTGGGAACTGCAGCCTCCTCAGCCTCCGCAGCCTCCGCAGCCTCCTCAGCCTCAGCCTTTCCAGTGCTCTCACGTTCTCCGTCCACACCACGCACCCGCAGACTCACATCCTGACGCAGCGCAACACTCACTCACACTACGTCCACATGGTGGGCTCGTTTATTCTCTATTCTTTAACCAGAGGTAGCCCCAAGAGCATGCCACTGAGCCTCTCCAGCCGGCTGCAAACATCTCCTGAGAACATCCAGCCCCTGGCTACGCTGCTGGATTCACTCTCAGAGCCACAGCTCAGCGTCTCCCTGATGGCGACAATGACAGGAGCAGTCCCTCTGCTCCATGTGGGTCCTGTGCATCCGGGAATCACATGTCACACACACGGTCTCAATGCTGGCCTCTAGTTCGGTCTCCAGGGAAGAGACCAGGCTCACTGGCCTCTAGGCTCTAACGACTAGGCTATGGTGGGCTGCTGGGCTAGGTGGAGAGGAAGGCGGGCAGGCTGGAAGCAGCGCTGGGCCTGAGTGAGTCCAGCTCCTCCCTGGCAAGCTGGGCCACTTTGGAATACTCCCTGCCCTTCCGTGGACCTCCCTTATAGCTCCCTAAGGAGTTGGCTGTAAGAGGCTTACATGTGGTAGTGTACATGAAAGGCTTTTCTTTCCTGGCTCGGCTCCAGGAGGGATGACCTACTGCAGACCAGAGGCCCTGGCTGCGAACCTCCCTCCTGCTAGGAAGAAGCACATTGCCGTCATTCAGTCTCTTGTGAGTTGGATTATTCGGAGTCTGTTTGCCAGAGTCTGAGCTCTAGAAGGGATGAGTGACTGGACTGGTACCATTGCACTATGCCGACCCTCCTCCCAGCTGCAGAGCACTGCCAAGTCCCATTCTCCATGACAGCCTTCTTGTGTTGACACCGTGTTCTCCTCTCTTTAAAATAACAACCTTTACTTGACCCTGCCACCCAGGAACTTTCCTCTGAGATTCTCCCAGTCTATACAGAGGGCAGACGTGAGTGCAGGCTGTAAATCAGGAGCCCTCATGACTCTTAGATCCATTAATCCATCAGGAGAAGATTAGCTACCTCTTAGTGTTGAGGGAGGGACCAGAAATCCTCTCACAGGATTGACTAATGGCTCAGGAACCACATTTGATACAACTCACGACTCAGCACTTACTGTTGTGACCCTCAGGGGCTTACGGACACCAGCATCCTTCTCTGTGCCTTACATTAGCAGCCGCACCCACACCCCAAATCCAGTGAAAGGAATCTGCTTCCTGCTTCGCCTGTCCTCAGATTGGGTCTGGGTAACATAATAATAATGAGTTGTTAAGGAGAAAATGAGCCACAGCCATAACCTGCAGGATCCAAATATTCCAGATTGGGAGTTCTTTAAAAGCTAGGGCCTCCTTTGTCCTGGGACTGGACATAGAAACCCACCCAACACATACATGTAGGATGGATGGTTGGATAAATATGGATGGTGGATGGGTGGGTGGGTGGATGGGTGGATAGATGGATGGATGGATGGATGGATGGATGGATGAATGGATGGATGGATGGATGGATGGATGGATGAATGGATGGATGGATGGATGGATGAATGGATGGGTGGATGGATGGATGGATCGATGGATGGATGGATGGATGAATGGATGGATGGATGGATGGATGGATGGACAGATGGATGGATGGACGGATGGATGGATGGATGGATGGACGGATGAATGGACGGATGAATGGATGGATGGATGGATGGATGGATGGATGAATGGTTGAATGCGTGGATGGGTGGGTAGGTGGGTGGATGGATGCATGGATGGATAGATAGATAGGTAAGTGGAGGGATAGATGGGAGGATGGGTGGATGGATGAATGGTTCAATGGATGAATGGATAGATGGATGGGTGAATGGATGAATGGGTGGGTGTATGGTTGTGTGGATAGATGGGTGGGTGGATGGGTGGGTGGCTGAACGTGCGGATGGGTGGATGGATGGTTGAATGCGTGGAAGGGTGGGTAGGTGGGTGGATGGATGCATAGATGGATGTATAGAAAAATGAATAAATTAATTTCTGGACAAGGAACATAATTTTTTTTTTTTGAGATGGAGTCTCACTCTGTTGCCCAGACTGGAGTGCAGTGGCATGATCTTGGCTCACTGCAACCACCGCCTCCCAGGTTCAAGTGATTCTCCTGCCTCAGCCTCCCTAATATCTGGGACTACAGGCACCTACCACTATGCCCAGCTAATTTTTGTATTTTTAATACAGGCAAGGTTTCACCGTATTGGCAAGGCTGTTCTGGAACTCCTGACCTCAAATGATCCACCCACCTCGGCCTCCCAAAGTGCTGGGATCACAGGCGTGAGCTACCACGCCCGGTCAAAGGAAGGTTTTTTCCTACCCACTCCCTAAGTTTGTTGTAAGAATAAAAGTAGACAATACAAGTAAAAGGGCTTTGCCTACCTATACAGGATTATACCAATGAAAGGAAGTATGGCTCAAAAGAAAATGGTTTCTTCAGTTGAACTTAGGAAGTGCTTCTAGGAGAACTCATGGACTCGAAATTACTTAAGGAATTCCCTTGAGGGACAGCATTTTCTGGGTTCTTTAGAGGCAGAATTCAGCACAGTGGAGGCCGCGTAGTAGGAGCCATTTCACTTTGGACAAGAGGAGCATCTTTGGACAGCTCCCTCCCTGGGAGTGATGCCTGGTCCCTTCTACACGTGGTTTTCAGGTCTATGCCAGTCTCTCCTACAAGTTTGTGAGCTTGTCAAGGGCAGGTGCTGTGTCTCAAACCTAAAATCCACCTCTTCCTCAGTGAAAATGAGGCATTCAAAGTCTGCTACAGCGATTTCAATAAAATAAACAAGGCCGGGTGCAGTGGCTCACGCCTGTAATCCCAGCACTTTGGGAGGCCAAGGCAGGTGGATCACCTGAGGTTAGGAGTTCGAGACCAGCCTGGCCAACATGGTGAAACCGTGTCTCTACTAAAAATACAAAAATTAGCTGAGTGTGGTGGCACATGCCTGTAATCCCAGCTACTTGGGAGGCTGAAGCAGAAGAATCGCTTGAACCCGGGAGGTAGAGACTGCAGTGAGCCGAGACTGTGCCACTGCACATCAGCCTGGATGACAGAGAGAGACTCTGTCTCAACGCCCCACAAAATCATAACATTAAAAAAGAGTTTATGATGAACACATAACCTTCTAAAATGACAGCCCTGCAGAAATGATAGAGTGAAACACTGTGTACAAGGTGCGTCCTTGCACATCTTCGAATTAAGAGATTGACATTTGAAGTGGCACGTTCCCCATTTTAGCCATATTGTTAAGATGGACAATGAGTTTGCATGACTGAGAGAGGGCAGCAGAGAAAAGCAGGGAGGTGCAAGGTGGGCTGTGACCCGCTTCGGTCGGTGAGATCACTTATACAGAGAGCCAGTGCAGGAGTGGACAGGTGAAAATGCCCAGTCGACAGCGGATTATGGCGATGGCGGTTTGGGGTGCACCGTCCTCACTCTGTGGCGCCTGAAGCGTGCATCTTTGGTCCTTGCACCCCTCTTTTCTCTTTTCCTTTTCCCCTTCTGCCTGTGCTTCCTCTCTGCTTTGGATGGGAACTGGGAGGAGGTGGGAGTCCAGGGCAGAGCTGGCAGAAAGAGCAGGAATCCAGGCTCAGACGTCCTCTGCCCATTTTTCCTTCCCGCTATCAGCACCGGCCAGCCAGCCCACAGCTGCCAGTGATGCGAGGTCTGCTGTCTCTCAGGCATGCAAAAGGATGTAGTGCCATCCTGGACTGGGGAAGGGGCCCTGGACTGGCAGTCAGACAGGACCACGGAGGGAAGGGGGCGCAGCTGTCACCAGCACACGTGGGTTTGTCCTCAAAGCACCTCCCACACCTCCCGGCGAGGCAGCAGGCCACCCGCTGCAGGGCTCACTGGGGGACAGAGCGAGGGAACACAGCGGCAATTTTTATGCATGACAGCTCTATGAAAAGGGCATAGCATTTACGTTAGCAAATTTGAGACTGGGGATTGGTGAACTGACCAAAGTCAGTGAATATCGAGGGTTAAGCAACAGGCCCCAGAGTTACCCACCCGGATGCAGAGTGGCCCGTGACACCCTTCTGAAAGGACAGGCGGGGGGTCAGGAGGCACTGGCTGCATTCGAATTCCTAATATCACAGTTTCACACTTCGGGAATGAACTGAGACAGTGCCCGGGAGCTGGAGCCCAGATGATCTCAAATTATTACGGAAATCTCTGCTGTGTCGGCTGCTTTCCAAACCTGCTATTGTGGCCATTCCTCAGGGGACTAACCGTTAGACAAACCAGACATGGGGGACCAAGGGACGTCCCGTGAGGCCTGCAGTGACTCAGAGCCCACCTCCAGCTCTGGGGAATGACTCCGGGCACTGCCACCTCGCCCGGCTCATGGTTTGTATTTTTAGTAGAGATAGGATTTCATCACGTTGGCCAGACTGGTCTTGAACTCTTGACCTCAGGTGATCCACCCGCCTCAGCCTCCCAAAGTGCTGGGATTACAGGCCTGAGCGCCCGCACCCAGTGCATGTCATTGTTTTTAATAACTATACTGAAATTTCCCTCAGGAATAAAGTTTTGCCTAGTTCAAAAACTACAGCCGTCCCTTTGCTCCGCAGCCTTGCCCTTTCTTTCTGGCCATGCATTAACATCCACAGCCCAGAGACCCCAAGCAAAGGCTGCAAAGTCACGGGGGCTGTCACCTCCACGAGTGTGGGCCTAGCCGAAACCAAGGGGTCCACCTGAGTCAAATGCTTCAGCATCGGGTGACGCCTGCTTCTACAGAGTGCCAGGTGACATGGCTTCACAGGCCCTTATTCAAACTCCTCCTTGGTTTTCTTCATTTTCTATTAGTTATAACAACCTATACTGAAATAGAATTACCAGTATCATTTCTGAGATGAGCTTACCTGGTAATATCATCACAAATTCCATGTCCTCCAAATTTTGCAGTTTCTATAGGGCCCTGGGCTCTCAGGCTGTGGTTTCAAGAGTTAGACATTTACCCTCATGCTGACGGCTTCTGGTCTTCTTGGAATTTCTTCTGAGAGACTCAGAAAAAGAGCTTCTGCCTCTTTTGGTTAGGGAAAGACAAGCGTGGAGAAACGCCATTCCATTTTCCTGCGTACCTGATTGTTTCCAAGTATTTTAACTTTGAATTTTTTTTTTTTTTTTTTTTTTTTTTTTTT